GTTTCTGTTGCGGCAGTTCCCCTTGAACAGAGAACCTGAAACCCAGGATCATAGCGCAATCGATTGCAAAAATGCGGAATGTAGGGTTGGACCTGCCATGTGAGGCGCTAGTCCCGATGCAGACATATTGAGACTCGATTTCTTTTCTTTTTTTCTTTTTGGTATTGATTTGGATTACTTCATCGGTTCAGTTTATCATTCGTCACATACTACCCTATGACTCTTTCAATGAGAATATTATTGTTTCGATTTCTTTCCACATCTGCCCACACGTAAGAGACTATTGTGTCCACTGTGGCTCGAGCCTCGAGCACTCCGCATGCGTTGAATAGCTCGGATTTGAGGGAATCTTGGAATATTCAGATGATGTGCAAGATATATATGTTGTATATGCATGTATGATATTTTCCGAGGAGGTAGTAGCACAAACCACGATGTCAGATGTCAGATCCAATTTGTATCGAGCGCAAATGTGCTCTAGTTCACTAGCCTTTGATATTCCAACCAACCACAAGGCTTGGAATGGTTGCAGGCCCCCATCTCTCCATGAAATGTGCTCAATTGTGAGCAGATCCCCTCGGGTGATCGGCGATAATAATTAAAATGACTGGAATGACCATCCAAGGCCCCTTCGATAGGTACAAAGGAAGAATAAAGGAGATATCCCGTTTTCGGTTCCACAACCATTCAAAGACACAAACTTGTTCCAGACTTGCCGATCATACCTTATGTATTCCATGATATCTGAACTCCCTTGACAATACGTTGTTGGTATTGGTGTCAGTTCTTTTCGGTCGCACAGGATGATGGACATGAAGATGGCCCAGGGCACGCCCTGGCTCGACCAGCCGGTGATGCTCCATTCGTCTCGCGCCGACAAATGCAAGCTGACTGAAGCTCAATGTATCTATCGCAACTATCACTGGCGATACTGGTATGTACCTCCCTCCGAGTTACCTACATGTATATGTGCTCATCGAAAATATGTTCTAGGTACCAAGCCGACCATGTTTACGCATTGAACACCGTCTACTTCATTTGTGCAGTGATTGGAATCTTTGCTATCTCGAACTTACTCGTACGATTTGCACCGGATAGAGTGAAACGGACCAGACCATGGCGCATGTTCACTTCCGCTTCGCGATACTTGTCGTATCGTGGATATCGATTACCTGCCCTGGGATATTGGTCTCCAGCGTTAGGCGTGGGGATTCTGGGCGCTATCGGCGCTGTCTTCTTCTTCGGTAGGCGGTTGTACATGGGAAGGTGTGCCGAGAATGGTGGTTGACACCCTTTATAGCGATGACACTCGGCCCACAGCCGTATTACTGGCCGACAGATGCTTCTTATGGAAGTAGTCCTCCAATTGCGACTCGATCTGGCTGGATGGCTCTTGCACTGCTTCCATTTGTACTGTGAGTGTAAGGTTCCGAGCATGCAATTCGGTGGCTGACCTCCTTTTAGGGCACTGAGCACCAAAGCCAACATGATATCTGGTGTGACTGGTATTCCTCATGAGAAACTTCAAGTATTCCACCACTGGACAAGCTATGCAATGTTTGTGTTGGCATTGATTCATACATTTCCTTACATCATTTATCATATCTGGAAGGGCGATATGATGTATCAGTGGAAGACAAGTGTCGTCTACTGGACAGGGGTTGCTGCTCTCATCTCACAGGCATATCTAACTCTCATGTCTTTACCATTTATTCGGTAAGGTCACCCTTCACCTTCCTACTGAGAGACAAACTCTTACCTCTCCCACAGCAATCGATTCTACGAATTCTTCAAAGCCACGCACATCTTCGTGGCGGTAGTATTTGTCGTGTTTTTCTTCCTTCACTGCGATTTCCGACTTTCTTCCTGGTATGTTCGACTCCTATGAGTCCTGTGGTGACCTTTCATTAACATATATTAGGGACTACTTCATAGCCTCGGGCGTAATCTACTTCCTAAGCCTAATAGCCAGCCACATCCGTACCTATCTAATGCACGGCGTCCACAACGCAACCCTCGAACTCCTCCCTTGCGGTCTTGTCCGCGTTGCAGTCCCATCAATCATCAAATGGACCCCAGGGCAGCACGTATTCGTGCGCTTCCTCACATCAGACCTACACCTACTTACCGCCCATCCCTTCACCATCTCCTCCGCGTGTCGCAATCCAGACGAGATAGGCAAAGCCTCAGAACTAGTATTCTACATCAAGCCGCGCGGCGGCGTTACCGGACGCCTCGGAGCAATGGCAGCCAAGAATCCAGGCTGCACGAAGAAGATCTTGATAGAGGGACCATATGGCGGCGTCAGCGAGCCCCACATGGCTCAATTCGACACGATCCTGGTAATAGCCGGTGGCTCGGGAGGCGGGTTCTCATTAGCCATGGTAGACGAAGCGCTCCGGCTGACGGGGATGGACACACCGGCAAGCGAGAAACGAGCAACCTCCAGGCGGAACCTCCAAGTCATCTTCTCGACGCGTGATCACGCCATGGCCGATTGGTACATCGAGGAGATCGAATCACGGCTGTCGGAATCGACCATGTTATCCGCCGGCTCGGACAACGGATTCGAGACTTCGGTGTCTGTGCACGTCACTGACCAGCGGGGATCGGGGATTTCCTCGGCTTCAGAATCTGATGGTTTCAAGGGCACAGCTGGTAAGGTGCCGCCGGCTGAGCTCATTACCACGGGGAGCTTCAGCTTGAATGTTCACCGCAATGCTCGACCTGATCTTCCTAGTCTGGTCGCGCGTACTGTTGCCATGGCACATGTTCAAGGGACGCATCTTCAGAAAAAGCAGCGGGTTGGGGTTCTGGTTTGTGGTCCTGCTTCTATGCTGCATGATACTCGGAATGCAGCAGCTTTGGCGCAGGCCAGGGTATTTGAGGGTGAGGTTGAGGAGCTGTATTTGCATTCCGAGCCTTTTGTGTAAGTCTTTGGATTCCTTGCCATATTATGGCGATTGGCTAACTGGGTTTTTATAGGTGGTGAGTGCTTTTTGATATGGAGTACCATCTGCTGGGTTGATCCTACTCTCTTTCTCTTCTCTTCTATCAAAGTACTTATTTTTTGTTCTCGAGTACATATGCTTCAATTTAAAGCCTATTATTTGCAGCAACCAAAAGAGAATCGCATAATTACTTCATAAAAAAGGACCAATATCCGAAAGAAAATCCAAGTTATTAACAGCCAAGACCCTCTAAACCAGTCTAAAGCCCTAGTCTGTACTAAATCACAGGTGAATACACAACAATCTAAGTATGAATAAATAGTATAGAAAGAGACACCCGAAACAATCACCGGCCAAATATAAAACAAAGACTGGGGATATGAAACGCCGAGGCCAAAGCCTGAAAAAAAAAAATAAAAAACAAAAACGCCGAGCATTAATCCCATAAGGCTGAGTGGAGAGATGAGAAAGAAACGTGAGATCAAAAGATCAACCACGAAATGCAAATCTAAACATTAAATGAGATCAAAATGAAGAGATCATCAGGTCATTAGCCCACCGAAACCCTACCTTCCACACTTCACATCATTATCTTTCTTCCATTTGATATCGAATCAAATCCGAATCACTGCCCCTTCTCGATTCTCTTCATCAAGGAATCCCTCATCCGCACATTGACCACACCACCAACACCGTACGCAGGAACAATCTTCCCCATTCGCGCAAAGCAACTAGGCACATAATCACGACGAATCCGCGCCGCACGTTCCGTCCAATGCAGACCACCGGCCGGCTGTCGGTTATACAGATCTAAGCCGAGGAGGTGCATGGGCGTACTAGCGAACTGCATAGCAGCGGGACAGGCGAATTGCGCGATGCTAGATTTCATGGCTGGGCTTGAAGCGAGGAAGTCTGGGACTGAAGGCGCGATGAGGGCGGGGATATTGAAAGAAGCCCAGATTGTGATGCTGTCGCGGAGACAGAAGAGGGCGTAGGAGACTTTGGGTATTTGGAGGGCTGGTACTGTGGGTGTGGAGGGAGGGAGTGGTGCGCGGAGGCTGGAACTATACTTCCGTGCAACTGGGGTTGTGTTTATGGGACTGTTTCTAGCGGGCGATTCGGAGGGAGGAGAGGCGCCGAACATTTTCGCAAAGCGCGCGTCTTTGTAGACACAGATCGTCATGTTGACTATTGTTGTTGCAAAGAATTTTGGGAGGCCTGTGTCGATGGCGTTGTAGGGCTGGTTATGTGTTGTTGATCTGAGGGTATCGATTGTGTTTGCTGTGAGGTAGGTCGAGGTGTATAAGGTGTAGATGAGGATGAATGGAGTGCTAAAGAAGAAGCCGGTGGGTCGAGCGACCATCGATCGGAGGCAGCTTTTTATTGTTTGGCCGATTGGGAAGCCCTTGGAGGCTTTTTCCATGATAGCACTGAAAGGATTAGCCTTGTATTCGATAATAGCGCCTGAGAGTCGTGATAGTCACATACCGATCAATGATGGTGATCAATGGGCAGGTCAGCGCGCCGGCTGTTGCGGCGCTAGCGACATCGACGCCGAGTCGTTTGCCTAGATCCTTGGTATTCCATGTTGAAGCTGTGGAGCGTTTGCCGGGGGTCTGTCCTTGACGTTCCTGGCCCTGTGGCTGCTTTATTGTTGCCATTGTAAATATTGTATCTTGCGCAACAGCATCCCGATTCATGCTCATATATGGACGCGAGAGAGGTTATGCATTGAGTAAGAGGGTACACAAAGATAAGGTCAAATGAGACAAAATGAATTACAAATGCAAGATCTGAGCGAGTATTATATCCATCGTTGATCTCCCCCAGCTTCGGACGAGAATGACCCGGGCGCGACCCGGCGCCGGCTCTCCGATGCCGGCCCGATAAGCTTATCGGCTAAACGCTGTTCCAAGGTTTTATATTGTTGGTTTACATAGAACATGATAATACAACTACAATAAAGTATAGATTTGCTTCATTATACTCTTATTCTTATTCTTATTTTGAAATCCCCTAACGCCAGATACCAATATCTTAACTACATATCTAACGGGCTTCAATCCCATCCATAGTGACGTTGACCGCACCAGCTTGCACCAACTGAAAAAAAAAAAAAAAGATTAGCAAAAATCCAAATTATGCAAGGGACACACATAATACATACCGCTCGTTGCAAGTCGTCAATCAAGTCATCGGCATCCTCAATACCAATACACAACCGAATCAAGTCTTCGGGGAAAGCGCGTTCCGCCCGTGTCTTCGCATCAATGCTAGCATGACTCATACGGCACGGCATACTGATCAGACTGTTGACACAGCCAAAGCTGACACTGATAGCAAAAATCTTGGCACTCTCCACAATGCGCTCGCTAATGGCCGTGTCACCAGTCTCGAACGAGAGCACAGCACCGGCGCCCCGCGCCATGGAGTTGTGAAGTTCGTACTGCGGGTGGGACCGCAAACCTGGGTAGCGCACCTTGAAGCCATGCGACTCAAGGAACTCAGCAATGCGCTGAGCATTGCTCTGCTGCTGGTCCATGCGGACCTTCAACGTCTTCACACCGCGCAGTAGCAGCCAAGAGTCAAACGGCGACAGGCCACATCCTGATGCGTTGATCGGGAAGTATAGGCGTTCTCCGAGCTGCAAGTCGTTTACGGCAATGACACCGGCCATCAGATCATGGTGACCGGAGAGATATTTAGTGCCACTCTCGTAAACGACATCGGCGCCAAAGTCGAGTGGGTTTAGGAGAAGGGGAGACATCATAGTGTTGTCAACAGAGACAATGCAGGCGGGGTTGGCCTCGTGGGCGGCGGTGGCAATTTTTCCAATATCGACGATCTTGATCAGGGGGTTTGTGGGGGTCTCGAGCAGGACCATGGTTGTCTTCGAGCTCAGGACCTCCTGGACCTTCTCGGGATCTGTGGTGTCGACGTGGTGCACGATGATTCCACCGTTGGTCGAGAGGTACTTAAGCAGACGGTTGGTGCCACCGTAGAGGTCGTCACCAGTGACCACCTCGTCACCGGGGCGGAGAAGTCTTGTAATCACATCCAAGGCTGCCATGCCGGAGGACACCACCAGGGCGCGCTGTGCCGACATGATCTTGGCCAAATGACGCTCAAGATGTGTGCGAGTGGGGGTTTCCGGACCGTGTATAGTCATACTCTCCACCGCCGGCGTTGGAGGTTTGTTTGAAGGTAGCACTCTATGTGATTCAATATGATTAGTATTCATGGCCACATCAAAGCACCATTGTGTCATCAGGGGTGAATCTGTACCTGATAGATAGGAACGCTGCTGGCATTGTATTGGTCACTGCCCTCGGTGAAAACCAGCTCGGTGGCAATATTATACCGGCGTCCAGTATGAGGGCTAGACGGAGCAGGGGAAGGTGGAAGGTCATTGCCTGACAGGTCAACCTGAGGGAAACCCTTCTTCACACCGCTAGATGACCCTGAAGCAGCATTGGGAATTCCGGATCCTGGAGCCGACATCGCTGTAGCGGGGCAAAAGGAGGGACAGTATGTATGTGTGTGTGTAGAGGATAATTGAGGATAATTGAAAGCAAACCCGTCCAAAGATACGAATATGTCAGAAGTAAAAAGGAGAATAGAAATAAAATTGAAACAGAAATAGAAAAATAAAAAGAATCCCAAGCAGTTCGCAATCCCCCCCGGACAAGCTGACTCGTCGCAAGTCGGCGCTGATTCGTTGAGCCACGGCCATTGCGATCTCGTCATCCGCTAGTCCTAATTAGGCATGCAGGTATGTGGAGTTTTTATGAGTCAACAATCTACGTTTGATTAAGGATGAATGATATTAAGCACCTAGGTATTATATTAATATCATATTAATATCACATTTAGATTAAACATGTATAGGAGATTAGTATATATAGATTTAAAGAAGGGATGCTTAATAGTTAATAACTATGAATAGGGAAACTATAGAATTTGGATATCAATGCTAGTATGTAGTAAGTAGTAAGTAGTATATATATAGTATATATAGGTTGTCCAGCCATCTACTGCACTTGTATAATATATACTTAGTTATATCAATTTACTACCTAGGTAGAAAGACTTATCGTTAGTCATCGGCCTGACTCCCTAGGTAGATCGGCAGCACTGCCAACATTTCTACTTCCCTCTATCTGCATATCCAACTGCATATACCCCCTTCAGATTCTGGAATCTGAAAAAAAAGAACAATAATAATACACACAAGGTTACAAGGCCCTTGAATAACTTATCCAGAGAGGAGCAACAAAAATGACATCGGAATCGGAAGCGGCATTCGCCTATCACGAACCATCAATTGAAACAGTCCTCAACTACACCGGTTTTCTTTTATCTCTCAACATCATCAATACATGCCTGGACAAGCTCCTCTACTGTGGATTGATTGGTCAACTCTTTATCGGTGTCCTGTGGGGTACGCCCGGGGCACAATGGTTCAATCAAGAGATAGAAAGAGTGATCCAGCAGATGGGGTATCTAGGTCTGATACTCTTGATATACGAAGGTAAGTTTGTGCAATCTCTTTTATAATTGCTGGATATAAGTTCTTACAGTAAACAGGTGGTCTCTCAACCTCAATAAAGTCCTTGAAGGCAAACATCCTTCTATCGACAGCCGTTGCCATCACTGGAATCTGTGTCCCAATGGGCTTGTCATTCATTCTCAAAGAACTCGTATCAGCGACATCCCTCCAGTCCTTCGCTGCCGGTGCAGCCTTGAGCGCAACTAGTCTTGGCACCACCTTTACCATCCTCTCAACCACGCAGCTGACAACTACAAGGCTCGGTACAGTCACCACTAGTGCTGCAATGCTAGATGATGTGGTTGGACTGGTTATGGTTCAAATTATCTCAAATCTAGGCGGAAGTACCGCCTCATTCAGCGCTGTGACTGTCATTCGACCTGTTTTTGTCTCTATCGGGTTCGCTGTTGGTCTTCTATTGCTGTGTGCATTCTGTTTACAGCCAGGATTAAAAAGATTGCTTGCTTGCAAAGCCAAGTTCCCAAATTTTGTGGGGACCGCCCAATTTGCTTTTCTTGCGCAGACGTGTGTGTTAGTTGGGACCGTGGCTGGTGCAACGTATGCTGGAACTTCGAGTCTCTTTGCCGCCTACCTTGCTGGGGTAATTGTCTCTTGGTTTGATGGGCTGGTAGCTGAAGCGAAAGCACCAATTCCTGCCTTGCATTCTGGTGCATCTCACGTGCAGACTTCCAACCACCAAGAAAGCACACAAAATAGCAAGAACCGGCGTACTGAAGAGACACCCTCTTCGCCTACGCAACATCCCCGAGAGGCAGAAACAACCCATAATGATACACCTACCGGTGAATTCATCTACAGCAAATATTATAAAGAGCCGGTCAACCGAATCCTTCTCCCTCTTTTCTTCGTGAGTCCTTTCATTCGATTTAACAAGGGACGTACTGACATCAGTAGGCATCGATCGGATTCGCAATCCCCATAACCAAAATGTTCTCAGGTCAAGTTGTATGGCGTGGGATTATCTACGCCCTGCTGATGGCAGTTGGAAAAATGATCACGGGCCTATGGCTCGTTCGATTCTCTCCGAGCCCCGTGTCGGGTATAATCTCTGTCATCAAGAAATCATTTACACATGCCCGCTCCTACTGTGCGAGTCCTCGGAACATCAGCAGAAAGTCGAATCAAAACAAGAAAGCCCCACAAAGGCCGGCGACTCGAGGTGACAGTGCAGATGTTTCAACACCCGATAATGCCAAAAACGAGCCTCAATCAACGACCAGACCCTCTATATCCACGTCCCGCCCCGATTCCCGCATCTCCCTCCCCCGAAACCAAAGTCCCTGTACCCGCCTTCCATCCTGGGATTGGCAATGGTCGCCCGAGGCGAAGTGGGATATCTAATTGCTTCAATTGCCGAAAGCCAAGGAATATTCTCCAGTGAATCTTCAGAAGGACCATCTGAGATATATCTAGTTGTCATCTGGGCAATCTCGCTCTGCACATTGATCGGTCCGATCTTGGTCGGGACTTTAGTTAGACGTGTAAAGAAGCTGCAACGGTTAAGGGGCGATATCGGGTCTGATCCTCTGGGAGTTTGGGGCATTTAGTTATCGCGGATACAGTGAGCGATGACCATGCTATATTGAAGCCCGAACATGATACCATGGATACATAAATATACAATAATCCTTCCGATGGCAATGACCTTATTCTCCTAGTGTACACAAAAACACAGCCGTTCAGCCACCCAACTGCATGATCCCACCATTCTTGATCTGAGTCATCATGCTCCGGGAAATGGGATCTTTCTTGTCAAAAGATACCTTCTTGCGCTCCGCAGAAGTCCAGGACGTGATGTCCTTCGAATCACCGCCCATACGCCCACGGGTGTTCTTCTTCAGCTTTGCTAATGTCTTTTTCCAGTCCCAGGGATCATCGGAATTAGCCGTAGCCTCGGGAAGCCCAGCCGTCTCACCACGCGGCTTATTGTAGCGCGGGTGGTTCAAACCATGAATTGTGATATCGTGTTTAGCGGCATAAGCCTCGATATCCGCATACTGGCGATCCCACGTGATACCGGATGATTCGACGTCAATCATGAAGCGAATGAACAGACCCATAATGGCCCCGATGTTCTTAACTTCAGAGTCCGGCTTGAAGAGATCATTTCGCTCCAGAGTAGCAAGCATACTGAGGAACATTGTGGCCAAGCCGATAAACATCAAATTCACGGTAGGTCCGTCTTCACAGCTATATCCCATTTGTTAGCGTTCTATCACCACTCAGTATTCTAGGAGCCAGTGAGACAAACCCAACCATCGGCATGATAGCATCCGTTTGGAAATACAGCGCCGTCGCTTCACAGATGGCCCACTGCATCTTCCAGTCACCAGCAGCCTCATCAAAATCCACGTATAGGTTCTCCACCAGCTCCATAATGGCATATCCAAAGAAGTCATTGTGGATATACATATCAAAGTTATCCGGGTTGCGCACGGTAGTACTCAGATTCAGCGTGATCCACTTCTCCACGCCGGCGTTCGTGAATATCCATTTCTCTCCTGGATGCTCGGAAGCAGGTTTGAGGGTAGTGGCATTATCCGCCTCCTGATATCGAATCAGCTATCACCCCCGCACCAGAGACAGATCTTTCTCTCCTCAATAGTAAGTCACTAACCGCATCTTCTTTCTTCTTCTGCTCTATAGACTCCTCATCTTCCTCGTACTCATCTTCGAACTCATCGTTTTGTCTCGTGTTCCAAGGCGCGCGTCCCAGACAAACATAAGCATAAGCCTTGACTGGGTCGCGAGTTTGCAATCTGAACTCCGAGTCTGCGTTACGGGATACAGAAACAGGGGCCCATCGCTTATCTAGTGCGCGCTTGGTTTCCATGTCTACTTCAGGGTTGGTTGTTGAGCCTTTGGGCTTCTTTGCGCCACTAGCGGCGGAGTCGGTTGATTTTCTCTTGGGAGGCATAATGGAAGATTGTGGGATTGAGAAAAGGGAATAGAATAGAAGAAAAGGGGATGGGGTAGATTTACATTGAAATAAGTTGAGTGGATTCTCTTGGGTAAATACGGGCGACGTGACTTTGACGCGTCGTGGGTCCGGGCGGCCCGGGGTCACTTTCGATACATCAAGGCTGATCAGAAGCCGATTTATTTTACTTTTCAACGTAAATATCGGTAGAATGATACAAATAGGTATATGAAGACAAGCAATTGAAATTTGTACATACTCCATCCCGACTCCCTCTGCATGCCAGTCCATGACGTTTCCCCAACATGACCCAAATCAGAGAACAACAGACACAAGAAAAATAACGAAACACTACCAAGCTCATCCAGACATTCATAAACCATACCGTCCCTAAAGACAGAACAGACGAAAGAACCCCACAACGCCGCAGCCAAGTCCACCTCGCCCAGAAAGCACTCCGTTTTGACACCAGAAAAAGAAAGCAAAGCTCCAAAAGATGACGGCATATACCAGCAGAGCAATTATATTAGAGTCTGCAAAGGAAACCTCGAGTACACTCTCGACAGGGAAAGTGTACGTAACAACATAAACATGAAGCGCAACATATTCCAGATCATGATTGTTCATGCTGCCAGATCTCCGAAACCACCGTTGATGCCGAAGAATTGGAACCTGTTCAATGTTAGCAAGAGAATGTCCAAAAAAAAAAAAAAAAAAGATTAAAGAATCACAAGTTCTCGGGAGACGTACCAGTCCTCGACATTCAGCGTCGTTGGCGCAGTCGGCCCGCTACGGGAACTACTACTCCAGGTATCATTGTCCTGGCTAGCAGCGTCCATCGCGGCTCCACTCATAGTGCCATCGAGACCATGCATGGGCGGCCAAGCTTGCTGATGCTGGCCTTCCATGCCGAACATCTGCTGCGGTGGGTTGGGATGCATTCCCATCGCGCCCGGCAGTCCAGACATTATCGGCGGGCTACCATGTGAGATAGACATGCTACGGCCAGAAACGGGCTGCGGCTGGCTGTTCATCATGGGACTAGGGCGCGGGGCCATGCCCTGGGGCATTTGTGATGGGATCTGGAGGGATGGGTCGACTGTAGCGGGCTGGGGTGGCGATGTCAGCTCCGGGAAGAAGGCAGTGCCGTCTGGGAAGAGTTGGTCGGGTTGGAAGTTCTCCCAGAGGGAGGGGGAGAGGTTGGGCGAGGTGCGGGTTACTAAGAAGAAGTCGGGGGGTGTGGCGGGTAGGGAGAATTGGCCATTGAACGGGGTTGTTGGCCTGGTGTTGGCTCGGGAATTACCCGTGCCGGTCATTGGATCATGAGGACCGCGGTGGGTGTTTGGTGATTGTTGGCCGCCGGGAGGGGGCTGGTGCAGTTCCCGGGAGGGCGTGACAGCGGGTGTCTGGGGCCGAGAGCGCTCGTATGACACAGGGGGTGTAGGCCCGCCACCATTTGGCATGCCGAGATCCATATCGTCGAATTTGCGTTTCGGCGGGTCGTGCCTCTTGGAGGAAGATGACTCCCCGTGCCGCGTGCGCTGATGTCTCCGGCCTGCAGCTTTCTGCAGTCGTTCTTCCAATACCTTATTTCCGAGAATAGACTCAAACAAGGTGTTTACCATCTTCGCCACCAGCCAAACCTTTGATACGTCCTTGAGGGCTAGCATGCAGACGTTGATTCTTTCCTGACAGGTGGCCACGATCGAGGGAACCGAGGAGCGCATTTGGTAAACGTGCATAATCAAGGCTGAGAATAGACTGTAGACAATAAATGCAGGCGTGTAGCGGATCTCCCCATGTGCTTGTAGGTTCTCAACAATAGAGGTAATCATGCCTGCAGCTTGGAAGGCAATTGTTCGCGATGGATAAGCCATTTCTTCGACCCTGTAGTTATTGGGTGCGGATGAGGCAGGCGGCATATGAGCCCTGTGAAGGAGACAGAGCGTAGTGTAGTAATTAGAGTGCAAGAGAGCCGCCCAGAAATGATGCCGTGAGCGTTGCCAGCATACTTCTTTGGGGCAGTTCTGCAGCCAATCGGCGAGCGCCATATCCGAGTGGGTGAGATCCATTGCATTCATACGCCGTGACTTAGAAGCCACAGAGTACTGCTGCGACAGAACCAAGCCCATGATCTCGCACAGCTTGACGTACTGCAGGAAGAACTGGACATGAACAGGGTCTGCTGGGTATTCGGCGACCATGTCTAGCTCATCCTCAATGAAATCGTCCTCCGTCACCATCTCAACATCCGAGTCATCTGTATTGATTCCAATAGGTCGTCCCAGTGCCACAGCGACAGATCGGTCTCGGGTGAACAGGGTCCACCAGATTCTCTTCCAGAGTCTTTTGTCTGGTTTGTTAAGCTGGGACATTTCAACACTGCGATGCATTCCAGAGCCCTGAGCTACCACCATAGCGACCCGTGTCCAGTAGAAGACGTTCTTAGTGACGTCTGCAACTAGTCAGAAAAGCCATTAAGACAGACTAGTATAGATTGCAAACTCACCTTCTGGTCCCTCCCAGTACCAACCCAAGAGCACTAATGCCTGCACGATAGTAACACGGTCATCCTCGTAATTAGCATCATATAGTGCCTTGGCACGCTTATAAAAGGTCATAGCCGCAGGGGTGGTCGAGCCATTCGCATCCATAAGCTGCTGGTTAGTGCAGACTCTCGATCCTGCCAGCAGAATCGCCTGCAGCAGTAGCAACGACGGCGGGTTCTTGGGGTCACGGTAGTGACGCATGAAGCGACTCTTATTGATAATCGGCACAACGGGGGCCACCCATTTGAAGTAGGCGTCAACCAACTCATCACACAGCGGTTTGGGCGGAAGCAGGAATGCACCCCGCTGGTGCAAGATATCAATTTCCAAGTTGTCCAAGTCCGTCAACCGGGCACGGGATCCTCTGACATTCGGTGGGAGTGGGTAGTGCACGACATCTGCTGTTCCATGACGATCTTGAACCAGAAGAGACAGATTTGACGATTCGCCCAAGTACGCTACTCGGCCAGCTTCTTTTATCGGAGCACGGGCAAACTTCGGCTTCATGAATTGGGCATAGGCGTTATTGGCTGAAGCTTGTTGGGCGGCCTCGGCCTCGGAAAGGGCCGTATTGGGCATGCCGTCGACGCCCATCATGTTGTTCCGATATCCAAAGGTATTGTTCTTTTCGTCCGAGTCCGAGCTTTTCTCCTTTTCCCTGGATGCAGAGACAGAGCCAGATACTGAATCGGCTGGCTCCTCAGTGCTCATGGGTCGGAAGTGAGAAGCTGTAGGGTCGACGACCGAGGCAGTTTGCGGTGGACTGTCGTCATACTGAGTATCTTCCTTGCTCTTGTTCTGATTGTTCTTCTTTCGTTTCGGAGATGGGATCTTGCACTCGATAGAGAAAGCGACACAATTGGTGCAGGGCACCCCGAGACTAGCTGCATCACATCGAACCTGAGGCGACGGGAACGGTTAGAGTGTGGAACATAAAAAAAAAGAGAGACAAGACCGAGAGCAAACTCACCTTGCGAGCATGACATGTCTAATTGAATCAAAAAAAAAAGAAATATCAGCCACATTGTTCCAAATCCAAGAAGGGGGAGAGAGAGAGAATGTATCGCGATAAGGAACTGAGCCGAGGTGCGTTGAGAACCTCGGCAGAGTCGCGTCTCCCTAAAAATCCAGACGTACCTCGCACGCGCGTGATGCACGTTGTCTAGGATTAGATAAAACGAATTAGCAAGCGCACAAAAATGCTTAACTGGTAGAGTTTCCCTTCAGGTACCAGGGGAGTGAAATGCCGGGAAAAAACCCTGTTCCTCATGCTTTGCGCCCGCACACTCCCCCGCGACAATCGGTTTATCACACCAGAACACCGGGTCGCCAATATCCACCCCCAAAAAAGAAAACTAAACAGCTACCAGAAAGAACCGGCTTACCTTCTGAAACTCAGCGGTTGGCCTTGTGGACCATTGCGCACCGTAATGCCCGAAGTCCCCGTCGAGCCCGCGTTGCTCGGAGCCGGGCTGGTGTGGTTGTCCGATAGCTGCTCGGTCTGGAATTCAGTGGTACTCATTGCCACGCAGTCTCTCCATCCAGGAATGCAGACTTGGTCAAATCGGAGAATTGGGAGGATGCGCTCGGAGGGGAAGGGGAAAGCGATATGATATAAGGCGTGTCAGGCGGGAGTACGGAGTACAGGGTACGGGGTATAAAGAGGATAAGAAGGATCTTGAACACAGCAAAATACGCCACGCGATCAAGGAAACAGAACAATCAAATAAGAAAAAGTACGGGGGAGGGGGGAGGAAAGAGGGAATATCAAAAGTTGGGGTGAAGTTGTGGCAATATCAAGTTCCTGGTGGAGTTTTCTATTTGGTCAGCATTTATTTAGGTACGTTACCTTGGGGTATATGTATAGTTGATTTTTATAATATTATGATATATAGTGATATTAATATGGTATATGATATATAACGATATCAGATATTCTCTATATTATTCCCTTCTATTCCCTGCTCTCTACGTCTGCAAATGAGAAAAAAAAAGAACGAAAAGGGGCAAAGTAACCCTAAGAACCCAGTGACCATATGGCGCAGGGGTTCACACCGAACCCTCATTGACTAAGCGCTAACTCGGTGTACGGAGCACGGAATCATAATAATAATGAAAAAAAAGCCACCAAATATGCACAGTTGGAACCTGTTAGAACGGGGACCACAAAAAAACATGGAGAGATCGACGGATGGGGGTGGAAGACCGATGGAGGTAGCATTTGGTGGAATGCTTCTTTATGGGACATTAGGAACAACTATATATTCTATGTATCGGCAAGCCCGGAATATAATAATCTACAATAATCTACAAAGTACAAATTATTAGTACATCATGTACGGAGTACAATCTAACTGTTGAAGTGCCAATCCCCAATCCCCCATTGCCAATCCTTTCAGACCCCAGACACTAAACCGGCCCACTGCGTGGAAATACCATTTGCCTTCA